TCGGTGACAGTTAAACATAAGATAGAATGGAAGTGACAGGTGAGGCCCTCCCTATGCCACAATGCGAGGCGACTAACTATGATTTGGCCCGAGGGGCGTACTACCTCCGAGTATGAGGATGGGTGTTGGCCTCACGGGACCACTAACCTAAGGTGAAGAAGCCAGGGGGAATTACAACTAGTGGACACCTAGGACCCTGACAGCCAGCCACAGCTAAGTAAGAGGGGAGGGAAAGTAGTGTGAGAGGACGTATGTGACGAAACGGGCATCGAAAAAAAACATTGAGGGTGAACGAGGAAGTAGCGCAGGGCCGACCGTAACTGAAGTGCAGAGTAAGCACGTACAGAGTCCAGGTGATCAGGCCGTATGGAGCATGCTCGGCAACAGGTAATAGAATTTGTGTTGGTGTAAAGCCCACGGGGCTCACAAGACCCAGGGAGTGTGCGTGTGTGCGCTGGCATACTAGCTAAAGCCAAAAGGCGAAACAATTAAGACTAGGTTTGGTGACAGGTGAGGCCCTGCTAGATGCCAAGCTGCGTGAGAGGCTCTATCTATGCGTTGGCACGAGGGGATAACGTGGCCACTGAACGTTGTGGCGGTGTGTCGGCCTCTCGGTGACAGTTAAACATAAGATAGAATGGGAGTGACAGGTGAGGCCCTCTCTATGCCACAATGCGAGGCGACTAACTATGATTTGGCCCGAGGAGCGTAGTACCTCCGAGTAGGAGGATGGGTGTTGGCCTTGCAGGACCACTAACCTAAGGCGAAGAAGCCATAGGGGAATTACAACTATTGGACACCTAGGACCCTGACAGCCAGCCACAGCTAACTAAGAGGGGTGGATAGCGAGTGAGAGAGAAAGGATGTACCTGAGGAACAAAAAACATTTGGAGGGGGTGCAGGAAAATAATGTAGCACGAGGAGCATGGCGGGCAAACGTGATCCAGCCAAATAGGGAAACGAAAACATAAAAGAAGAATGCGGGTCGGGCTCTGCAACGGGACTGAAAACCCTGGTACGACAGCATACGAAAACTGGTTTGAGCAATGTGTTCATCCAAACATAAAAATAGCTTATGACGTGAAAAAATGCAAACTGCAGATAAAAAACTAAAAATCCATCAGCAACCGGCTGTATACATTCCCAGCAAACCGTCTGCATGGGTCTACAGAGACATCACTACGATGTGCAATTTGAAAACCCACCATACTGGGTCAAATCCGAGCGCTAATAGCTAAATACTTAGATGCATGTTAATTTTTTATTTTTTTTATTTATTCTTTTTTTTTTTTTATATAACATTAGTATATTTATTTATTTGTTTAAACATGATTGACTTTGATCTGTGAAGTCTCCAAGACCCCTAGATGTGGAGACTCCGTGTCAGAGAAGGTACAGAAAATTCTAATAAGCTTAAACAGATGTGTCATTATTGGCAATTGCAGTATAAAATAAGCGCTGCGTGGTTTAGGTCCCAAGGAAACTGCCTTTTTTTTATTCCTTTAACAGTCACAGAACTTGCAAATCTCACATTTTCATTAGCAGCTAATATCTTTCAGCAAACATTTACAAAGAGAAAAAGAAAAACAACTGAAGCATGCTTAGAAAAAAAAAGCCTCATGCATAACAGAAAGCCAGAAGATGACAGGAGAACGAAGTAAAAGTAATAAATAACAACAAAAAAGGACTGGAAAATATACTCGATACATGATAAAAGTGTGCCTGACAGTTTTTTTTTTTTAAATTCTTTATTTTTCTTGTGCATTTGATTACATAACAGAGGTATCTGTAGTGCCACAACAGCGATTACAGGCAGTTCAATGGCTTACATTGTCATGGCAGAAATAAACAGCACATTTTTTGTAATGAGAAAAATAACAGACTGGAAACACTTTAAAGATTTTAAACATGCTATATACAGGCTAGCTTTGTATGACTGTTGCGGTGGGTCCCGATGGGGTTTCGAGCTTGAGACAGTAAACATACAGTGGTACTAGAGATTGGAGTAGTCAAGTGCTTAGAGAGTGGATTCAGGTTAAATTCGTAGTCATATTGTATAAGCACGGTTGCAGTTAGCAGTAACTTGGTGAATAACTACATTAAAAAGTTAAACTGTGTGTATTTAAGCTTAGACACCACATACAGCAGTTAACATTGCTAGAGTTAGCCTTCATTGTGTAGTCCTGTTTCTATTCACTCTGAGCCTAAAGGTACCCTGCCTAAAAACAATGGTAACATTCAAAAGCAGTTAGTGGAATCTGCACATTTTTAAGATTATGACACAATATTTATATATATTCGAAGAGTACATGAACTGAATAACAGAGAACGTATAGCATGGCATAAATTGGTGCCTAAAGTAGAATAAAATAAAATAAAATAGAATTTGTGATTACATTGGATATCCCTTTATTATGTCCTATTTCCTGGCGACCTATTCTTAGTATATGCGCATAGACCACCTGAAATGGGCAGTAATAGGTGCCTACAGCTGATAATATAAAAACTGGTTAAACGTAAGGTGTGGATATCATTCTACATGGTACTCCCATAGGAGATGCATGGGTGCATGTCTAAGGTGGTGATTACAGTAGTAGCACAGGTTGGTAAGATTACATAGTTAGGCATATTGACTTAAATCCTGTGTCTGCATCAGCGATCAGCCACTGGGAGTGTATATAGGTCGCTAATAGTAGTTAAAACTGTTAGGTGCGATACTGCTTGCGCACTGGTGTGATATACCGTGGAGCTTAATCGGCTCGCCAGTTGGCATAGAGCTGGGCTAAGCATTTTGTGTTTGTATGCGTTGAGATCATTAAACCATTGGGTTATGAGCCTGGACCTAGATAGCTGCTTATTTGATCAAGACCACAATATTAGCAACCAAAGATATTAAGCTTAGTCATTACTGTCTCATAGGGTACCCTGTTATTATGCATAGGCTATGTTGGTGTGGGTATCTAAGGGAACACTCAGTTAGTAAAGTTTTGCTAAGTTTTATGTGATTAGGCTTAGGCCTGACATGACATTAGCTCCACTAACCCTAGTTTTGGTTGAGAGTAGAGTAACAAATTGCCTAGCACTGCAGTATACTTCTTGGTCTAACTTATAACTTTAAACATGAAACATTGTACATTCCGCAGCTGAGTGGGTGAGATGTCCAGCAGTGGCATCGGCCTGGGTTGAGGGGTGCCGTTAAATAGAGTTAGCCCTCGCGAGAAGTGGGCTGCAGGCCCTTAGTTTTGGTGGAGTCAACCAATGTTCTGGTTCGGAGGTGGCAGGGAGTTCTGTAATGTCACCAAGTCAAAGTGAAGAATCGAGTGGTAATGTCACTTGGGATGGGTCTCTTGTAAGTTGCATAAGAAGTACCGTACTCTCGAGAGGCCAAGGGCAGGTGAGTATGTCCTGGAGTGATGTAGTCGTCAAGGTTGTTGATCCGCGTTGGATCCCTTTGAGCCTCGGGTGGTCAGGAAGAGGGTAAGACTGTAGTGTGTCGTTTTTGGGGAGGGGGGTCAATGTTAGCCAATCCTGGGTTTGTTGAGATTCTTGGCAGTTTAGTCGGGCAGGTGTAGGATATTGCGGGTGGTCCCGGCGTCCTTATAATCATTGCCTTAATTGGTGGTAGGGTTGGAGCGTGGGCCCTACGGCTCTTCCTAGGTGGTGACCGAGGCGTATGTGACCGGTGTGTTGTTTCGCGGTACAAAAGGGGGGCAGTTGTCCGGGTCCAAGCTGTGAGCCGGGGTGGTGGGGGCTCGGTGATCTGCTTGGGAGAGAGAGTCCCGCGGTAGGCCCATGGCCTGTAGAAGATCCACTGCGTCCTGTGGGCCGTGGATTTGGTGAGTTGTTTCTCCCTGTTGCACAAGGAGTGTGTGGGCTGACCTCCAGCGGTAGGAGATTTTGTGCCTCTGGAGTGCGGCAGTGAGGGGTCTGAGTGATCTACGCCACGCCAAAGTACCGTTCGAGAGGTCATTATAGAATGTTAGCTTCATATTCTCAAAATGCACAGGAGTTTTTCCCCGAAGGGCAGTGAGGAGCGATGCTTTGTCTGCTCTATTTTTGAAGATAAGGATAGTGTCCCTTGTGGCCGCGTCTGGGGCCCTGGCAGGTTTCGGGATCCGGAATAGATCTGTGGGAGTGATGGGTTTAGTTTGACCTGGGGGCAGTATAGTGGTTAGCAGGCACCTGATCGTGTGTGGCAGTTCTACCTCCGGTAGCCCCTCCGGGATCCCCCTGACCTTTATGTTGTGTCTCCTTCTTGCGTCCTCCTGGGCGTCCAGGCGTCTTTCAAGTATCGTGTTTTTGCGGCTCAGTTCTTGCACGTCTCTCTGTAATGTGGTTATGGTGCGCTGACTTTCTTGAGAGGAGTCCTCTAGCACAGCCATTCGGCCTATGAGGCCCTGCAGCGTTGACCTTAATGCTGTGACATCCGCAAGGATGTTTTTCTGCAAATCTGCTAGTAGGGTTTTCAGCACCCCTGTGGTCACCAGGTCGGCATCAGGATCTGTCCTTGCTTTGCCTGGTTGTGTCCTTGGTGTTGGGTCAGGGGCTCGGTAGTACTCCTCCTCTGCCCCCTCTGAGCAGTCGTCCGAGAAGTCCGTGCAGCCTCCGTGCAGCGCCGCCATATTGGCCTCACTCGGGCCGCGTGTTTGCCGCCACATTTCCCCTATTGTTAGTCCTGGGGTTGTTTTGTCCGGCATCTGTTTTTTATTTTTGCGTCCCATCGTGCTTGAGGGGTTCCTATGTGTGGTCGTGGTTAGTGGGGGGTAAAGTAGGCTATGTTTAGGCTATATTTCTCCGGTTTTAGCACGGAGCTCCGAGGTTTTGCGACCGCTCGTTTCGGCTGTCAGGCTCCGCCCCCCCGTGCCTGACAGTTTTTATAGAAATATGAGAAGATGTGTTTCACAAAGGCATTAGCATAAGGACACAGTCCTCAGCAAAACCACGTGCAGACAAACCAAGGGACAACCGAAACAGCGGGCTGTTCGCGGGATGACAGGCGAATGCAAGAAAATCACGAACCCTGGCAACAACGAGCAACAGGAAACAAGGGAAAGAAAAACTCCCGAACAGCGGTAACTAAAAGACTCACGGACTCAGAAGACATGACAGGACACACAGCTGACTGGAGCAGAGCCCAGAAAGGACTGCGGACGATCAAAACCGCGGGGGAACAGCAGGCTAGGCAAGGAAAACCGTGAGGGAACAGGCAAGTAGGAGATGGCGACCGGAAATAGCGATCTGCGAATCGCTAAGAGCGCGTACGGGACGGAGGAAGGTGAGTATGTGGTTTAAGTAGGGAACATGCCCCTCCCACAACTGCAGGCCAAGCCTTAACATTTATCAAACCAATCACAATCCAGATTTAACAAGTCTTTTTTTTTTCTGCCAGTAATATTACCGAAGTTGAAAAATGTAAGTTGTTTTTTATAAACTTACATAAACCATAATTTAATCATTAAAGGGACACTCCAGACCCTTAATGCACTTTAGATTGCGGAAAAGCTTTATGTATGAAGAGTGTGTCCTCTTTTATTTATTTTGGAAGTAGAACAGATTTTAATAGAAATTTACATTTTTATAAATTATACTTGTTACACCCCCTGGCTTTTCATGCAGACAACAGGTCCTGTAGTTGGTTTGGTTAGCATAAAAGCTCTGAATTCTGAGCACCTACCTTGTATTGAGCTGCATTGGGAAGTCTGTGATTGAACAGCCACATAAAGTGTGGGCGAGGTTAGAAGAGGAGGGCTTGCAAAGGCAGAAGACAAGTTTTTAACTCTAATAAAAAAGGCATCATTAAATTCATACTGAACAGTGATTTGTATTTATGTTGTATTTGGGCAGAGGAATGTCCCTTTAAATTTGTGATATTGTCCCTGATAGGCTAGAATTTACTCTACTCAAGTCTAAGGGGATAACATTTTGTCCTATGTGCAGGTTACCAAAAACTGCATAGTATATATGTGTGTATGTATGTATATATATATATATATATATATATATATATATATCCCAAGAAGCAAGCACACCGTTTAGTTTACCCTGGTGCAGCAACCAGTTGTTGGGAATCATTCTTGGGAATGTTTAAATCAAACATTTTACTGGTTTATTAACTCCAAAAGAAGATGATAGATATGCTGTGATTATCTGCTTTTGGAGTTAAGAAAGCAGTGAAACGTTTGATACAACAATTCCCAAGAGTATATTTCTCCTAGTTTGGTAATTTATATTAATATATATTTATCATCATACTCTCTTTTAATTACTTATTGTTCCCCCAATGCTTTCATCAAATAATTTGTGTCTAGGGTTTGGTTGAAATTGATATTCGTGAAGCAAAATGTTTTGCAACCTAAACACCCAGTTATAGTGGTCAAATTGATAAAAAGATAAATAGTGTAGCACTTACAAAAAGGTAATAATTACCTTCAATATAACAATCCGGATGCTTCAAGTTGTACAACACTCCAGATGCCTAGAGGTATTAATAATACTACATAGTGCAAATCACAACAAATAAAAGATATGTATAGTTAAGTATACATACAGAATACTCACAAACATGGAGATATTAAACCTAGCTCCTGTGTGGATAGCCTCCGGGTCCATTAAGGCGACCCACGCCTATAGGAGATAAGCGTCCAATCCTAAGGGAAGCACATAGAACGAAAATAGAGTAGCACAGTTTAAAATAATAATGTAAGGTCTAGTGTCAAGTCAATGTTTACAAACATAGAGCCCCATGGCTTTGTGGTAGTGTATTGTGTAGTTTGGGACTACACTCCCCCTTTAGTAAGCAGCTCGTGATGATACCAGAAACCAGGATTCAAAGTAACAAATGTATAAATACACTTATAAAAATATATAAATAGAACAAGGAACAATGTCCATATAAAATCCCAGAATGCGTTTCACTACTAAATGTAGCTTCCTCAGCTGGGTATGCTGTGTTTTAATTCCTGGTTCACCGGTATGTGCTTATATACCCTCTTAATGAGGGAATAGCCATCTGGTGTTTTTGCTCCTTTACGTAATTACCACGTTGAGGTAATATGCTGCGGTTTAAGTCTATCTGGTAGTGATTGCTTATCACGGCGGATGCTCTCATTTGGAGCTCCGTTGTGTTTTAATTCTCTTTTACACTGTCAATCTCATATTACTTCCTTGAGTTTAAAGCCTCTTTCTGAAATGGCGATGTTGTCCTCATATTCACTTTGGTTTCCTTTCTTAGATGGGCGATCTTCTTAAAGCTTCAACCTTTATTGTTTGTAAAATGACCTCCTTAGAGATGGTCTTGTGTCCCAGATTGTCAGATTGTAGTACATTCATATTGGCCCCAACATACTTAAAAAAAAATTCTAAACCGACATAGCAGCACAATGTATGTTCCCAAGATATTCAGATGGCATACAAATCAGAAAAGAAAAAAAGGACTAGTATTAAAACTGTATATAAGATCACATAGAATAAGTGGTTATAATGGTAACAGTCATAACTCTCTTAATATACAACACTCAAAAAGAAAGTGCAAGGTGAACATGATATTTGTTCTATGGTTACATGTATCATTATAATATGTAAATAGTTAGAGCAGCAACAATTATGAAACATGTATCTTAATGCTTAGAAAACCTTAAAGGCATAGTGCAAACAAGTGCTGAGAAAAAAAGCAGAAAATTTGCAAAAACTTTGTCTCCAGTTATTTTTACTTTTTTCAAGCCCATAACAGATAAGACATTTGGATCCTCACTGTGAAATTGTTTAAAACGGCTAGAGATGCTGTGGTTAGCAAATCCCTTTTGTATGTTGCGAACATGTAGGGATGCGGATGGGCACAAAATTCAGTTCGGCACTTATGAAATTTGGGACTTCAGCAATTCGGCACTTCGGTTCAGCACTTTCGAAATTCGGACTTCGGCAATTCTGCACTTAGGTTTGGTTCGGCACTTCCAAAATTTGGGAATTCGGCAATACGGAACTTCGGCACTTTGTGAATTTGGGACTTCAGCAATTTCCTACCTCTACCCCTAACCCTACCCCTTCCCCTAACCCTACCCATACCCCTACTGATGCTGGGGTCAGAGTGACGTCATATTCCGGCTCCGGTATCACTGCGGTGTGCTCGAGGGAGCTCAGCAGGGGAGAGTGCTCCCTTGCTGCCTCAATTATCAGCCTAATCGCCTAATCGTGGCGGCCATTTTGTTTGCCAAAATTATGGCGGAACCCCATTTGTGTTCTTAGAGCACCAATTGGGAAACGCTGGCTTAGAGCATCCCTCAAATAACCTACATAGTTTGCACTTTTTGTCATTTGGTTCTGCTGGGATACCGATAATCAACCTAGAATGGTGGGAAAGGTAATCCATTGTTTTTTAATTTTTTAGCTATAGCCTCTGTCTTAAAAGAAATTATCTCAGTTTTTCTAAATTGACCTTGATTAAAGTGTCATGGATATTCCTGTGAACTGTCTATAATACAAACTGAATTCCCAGATTTTACTATTAACATGACATAAAGTCATGATTTTATTAAAGACACAGAGGCGAGTATTATGCATAACTCTTTCTTTATTTCCCTCAGCAGCGAAGATAGAGATAAAAATATTTATATTTCAAATTGGGAGAAAACTGCCTAGCAACTTGTGCAACCAATCACAGTGTAGAGATAGTGTCCATATAAGGCAAGTGTATCCCAAGATCCCCTCTTTCTTGTGATAACCAAAGACCATGTAGTAACGAGAAATTTTTCAACACTGTATCCAACAGGGACCCAGACATAACTGGTAACTTAAAGCTAAAATGGGGAGAGAAAAAATAGGGTAATATCCAAACTTAAATTTCAAGATTTGTCATTACTGTTAAATATATAAACAAATCATCAGGAATATGTATTATAATAACTAAACCACAAACAACCATGACCAAACCATAAGCTCACGAATAAGCCTCACCAAAAAACAGAACACTTACCGTACTGACCAAGACGAGGCCGCACCCCAGGACCCTCGAACAAGAGAGATGTTAATAGTAAAATCTGGGAGTTTATTAATGACAAGGAGGTTCCTATTATGCAAGTTTAAAGCTGAGCTACCACCTGAGATGTAAAATGGGTAATCGGTCAGAAGTAAAAGTCACGGAAAGTAGATTCCTGTGACCAATCTGTGGCCTGTAGAATATCCTCCAGATGACAACCAACAGCAGAAGCCTTAGGTGCCATTGCTCCATGCATCGACTGGGACGTAAAATTGATGTATCAATGCTTGCTAAGGACAACAGTCAACAAATCCAACGCGCCAAGTAGGAGTCAGTGCTGGTAGATGATGAACCTGGAAAGAAACCAACAACGGGTGCAGTTCAGGAGAATGAAGTGAGCGTGTGGAATCCATATACGATTTCATTCATCACACCAGGCACAAAGCCGGAACCTCGAAAATTGATGATAAAACATTGTCTTAGTAGCCGATTCATCCTTCTGGAGATAATGAAGGAAATATCTTCTAGGATAAACTCAATAGCATGCCAATCCAGTGTTCAGAAGTCCAAAACGCATACAAAAAAAACCAGGCCAAACAACATCAACAGCTTAGCAGATAGTTGTTAAGTGACAATGCTTGATTCAGATAACAGGATGACGAAATTGTAGGACCACATCGACATCCCAAAAGGTGAATCTATTCTAGGATGCCTAGTGAGTCGAACCTCTTGAGAAGATGACACATGAAAGGGCGGTGATCTATAGGTGATCCCTCAATGCCTTGAAGTCCCTCGGAGATGGTTGACTGTAATAGGTAATTATTGTGGCAAGCCGTCTCTGATTCAAAGACTCCAGTAAGGAAAACTCTCGAATCACATGCAATGGCAAATACAGGGCACACTGCATGTCCCAAGCATGTTGATTGATAGGAAGACCTAGGTCCAGGAGCCCATGCATGCAAGGATTTCAAGAGATGTCTGCGGAACGACTGGGAGCTTCCAAGGTCTCTGAAAAGAAGACACACCACCAGAGTCAGGAGGTTTTGCTGTACCAAGCCAGGCACATTATCATCCAGATCCAGAAGGAGGGTCGGGGAAGTCGGAATCTGGCTTGGACAAACGATCAACACCTCCATCACTCGAGGGAACCACGGTTGTGACTTCTGTAGAGGGTGACCATCACCAGTGTATAGCCCTGCCTGAGCAACTTC